CATCAAGGAAGTATATCTTTATAAATGTGAAATTATTTATATAAGATGAGGTGCAAAGATGAAATTATTTTGAGATTATGTAAATGTGGAATTATTATGAGAAGACCCGTGAAAAGTGAGATTATTCTCCTAAATTTTTCCTAAAAAAATTAAAAGGGTATTGCTTTATGCACCCCAAACTTGCTTGGCGCACCTTTTTTGGACATGTATGCCCTCTCATCTTAAGAATGAACTTATGAACCTCTTTGTTTTAAAAATCAATACTCGGTAGTATTGTAACTTTAAAATTTAAGACAAAACACAATCAAGCTTAATACACCGTAATATTGGACTATTGTATGATATTTGTAGCTAGGGACTTATTTAAGATCAAATCTTGAGGGAAAGTAGTTTTGATCTTTATTAAAATAAATATTTATTTTTTGTACAAAATATAAAATAGGGGAAATGTGCAAATATACTCTTGAACTAATTTGTTTACGTCTTGTCTCGTTTGGTCTCGAATCGAAAATAATCAAATATAAAACATCATAAAAGATGTCAATTATAGTTATATGAATAGAATAAAAACACTACTCAATACAAAGATGAATGAAAAAGTATATAGGCTTATTATTAACTAAATATTACTAAACATCGTATGCGATAAACATAATGATATAGATCAAAAATAAAAATTGAGGTGCAAGTAATGGGCAGGTGAAGTTATTAATATAAATTGAGATAAAAGAATATCTCGTAAGAATGAGAATGTTTTTATTTGGACCGTTTTCAGTACCTGATCAGATTTAATTTAATCAAATCAGATCAGAACAGACTTGACTCTCATATAGTTATAAAATATATGAAGACCAAACATTTAATAGACCATACTATACCAGCAAATTTCAGTTCAAGTAAAAACATACTAAAAGTAAAGAGTACAATTTTTTAGACAATCTTCAGATTCATCCCCTATTATATAAGAATATTGTAAAAAAACTTATCAAAGCATTATTTTGTACTCCGTATTACAAATATTTATATATTTGGTGGTGGAATTTGTAATCCTTGTCATATTAGGTTTTTGAGTATATTCTTTTTTTTGTCAAGTTTTTGAGTACATTCTAAAGAATTATATTAGGTGTTTGAGTATATTCTAAAGAATTACTACGTATTTTTTTAAGAGAAAATGGGCAAATAAGGCCACGTACTAACACAAAAAGATCAAATAAGGCCTTATTTAAGAGGCTCTGTCCGGCCATCGCCATTTGGGATAGTTACTGGTGAATTTTTTTGATAAAATATTTTGAACATCTTATTCAGTAAGTCTTGTTTACTCATACCAAATTTCAACTACAACTTCAATCGGGAAGGCATTCAAATAAATTCTTGAAGATAACTGCGTAGTTAAAAGCGCAGTTATCTATAAGAATTCATTTGAATACTTTCCGGGTTGAATTTTTAGTTGAAATTTGGTATGAGTAAACTTGACTTAATGAATAAGATGATCAAAAAAATTCATCAAAAAATTCCACCGAGAACCACCTCAAATGGCGAAGACCGGATAGAACATCATAAATAAGACCTTATTTGACCTTTTTTGGTTAGTACGTGGCCTTATTAGCCCCTTTTCCCTTTTTTTTTTAATAATAATAACGTTAGAAACGTAGTAAATTACGGAGTATAAGGAAATCTAACGGTGGTTTTGCTTTTTAAATTAAAACATTAGGATTCACATTTGCTGAATAACTGCCATGGGTATTGTGGGTTGCTGAATAGTGATGGTCACAGTTTTGTAAACTTACATAATATTGGTAATATATATGTAAAAAACTCCATTTATTTAACTTTATGAAAGAGGATCAATTTAATAAGCAATACGGATTACGGAGTGCATTATAGGGGTGGGATTTTGGAACCGGGAACCGTAGAACCGATTGGAACCGAACCGTTAACAACATCTAGGAACCGAACCGTTAACAATTAATGCCTCATTTGTAGGAACCGAACCGAAACGGGTTATAACGGTTCGGTTCCCGGTTCCTATAAAAAATATGTGCATGGAACCGTTAAGGAACCGTTATTAAAAAAAATAATAGTAGTAGTAGTAGTAGTAACAACAACAACAACAATAATAATAATAATATAATAGCAATAATAACCACCACCACCACAACAATAATAAAAAAACAATATAAGATATTTAACTAACAATTCTAATTTAATCAATGGAAAAGAAGTAATAAATATTGTACATGAGGTTGATATAATACATTAAACTCCTTTCTACAAATCAAGTTTTGTTCCATCACATAAATTTTATAAATATAAAAATAACCCAAATAACTTGTAGTTGATTGCACATATTTTACTTTACTATTTTCATGATATTTCTAATTATTAGATTTATTATGAATCAATAGAATGTAATAATGTTTTTTTATATCTATACATGCAAACTCAATGTCTTTTTTTTATGTTTTGAAAGACTTGAAGTAGGCGTCCTATTCTTGCTACTATGATGACGAGTAATCTTCATCGCTTCGACACTACAACGATTTTTAATGTTTGATTTATTACATGAAAATTTAAATCACTTTTGTTCTATTAAGTGTTCAAAGTTTATTAGTTAAGTTTGAGCTTTGATGTTTGAAGTGATTAGAGCTTCAAATAAAATTTTAATACTCGTGTTTTGAATTTTCGACGTGTTTAAATTATGTGTTAATTCTTAGACGAGAAAAAATTATTCTAGGAACCGGTAAAAGGAAGAACCGAACCGTTTACTGCCGGTTCGGTTCCATAACGGTTCTTGATTTTTTCTATAGGAACCGAACCGATTTCGTTAGTTAAAATTTTTTATAACGGTTCCACTCATTTTGAGTAAGAACCGAACCGGTCCCAGCCCTAGTGCATTATACGGTTAGTGGCGTAACTAACTGCGTAAGTATTGCGTGACATACATGAAAGTAGAGATGACAATTTCGGCCGACCCGTTGGATATCCGCACCGAACCGATTTGGTCAAACTGGGGAAAACCGGTTTGACTGGGGAATGGATACAAGGCGGGGAATACCCGAATTTTTTAAATGGATAATGGTGCGGTTATGGTTCTATACTAATCCGCCCCGAAACCGCCCCATTCACTAATGGTGTGGGTACCCGCACCGTTACCCGATCCGTAGCATTATTAATAAATTATAACTTTATACATATAAGAATAATAAGTATATATGCTAAACGTGTATACTAAATTGTATATATCATATAAGTATATAAAGAATAATACGCCAAAAAAGGCCCACTTAAAAAAAACATAACATCCCTATTCGAGTTTTGCGGATTACGGCTCAGGAGGTCAAGACTCTGCGCCTCTGCTTAGAACGACAACGACTCTCTTCGTCATCTTCGATCCTTCTTGGCCTAAAACGTTCTTTTTGCGATGGATTACTACTTTTTAATGCCTAAAACTGTTTTTTTTTTTGCGATGGATTACTACTTTTTAGGCCTTAAACTGAATAGAGGCCTAAACCTGTTTTTGGAATTTGGATTCTGGGATGATTACTAGTTTTGTATTATGTTACAAGAGATATTAGGTGCATGACATACTAATGAATTTAGGCCAGTCTGTTTGATTGCTTAAATATTTACTTCGGTATGTTTTAGGGTGATTTGAATATATAAATAACAAGTAGGATTATAAATTGGTTATTTGGTATCATTTGGACAAACGGTTACCCGTGGATAAACCGATTCCCCATTGGGGCGGGTACAGTTTAAATAAAAATTACTCGAACAGGTAATGAGGCGGTTTTGGAGCAAACATTTATCCAACGGGACGGTTTCAGTTTTATGTGTACCCCATCCGCCCCGTCATCCTACATGAAAGAGGATAAAAAGGGGCGCAGATTGTAATTTGGAAGGTGCGCGGAGAAGGAGCGAATTAAAATTATAAGAACTGCTTTTAGTGCGTAAACAAAATCGGTGTAAACATCGGATCGATCCGACCAGTCTAAACACTAGCAACGCCATCACCAATTGCCGTCTCCGCCTTCATCTATCCATAGACGCCAGCACCCCATCTCGTCTTGCTCCACCTTTCCTTCACATGACTAAATAGATAACTTCATATTCTTACATCAATTCCTTCACCTAGGTCTGATTTACAATCACAAAATTTTGTGAAATTGGATTCTTTAGCGACTTTCATTATAGCCTGAAAGTGTCTTCTTACAGGAAGAGGAAATTCAGTTATGGGCGAATATTTGTCGTAATCAACTCCCTGACCAGTGATCCTGTCGGACTTTGGAGCTAAGTAGCACCGGGACGGAAACGGAAACGGAAACGGGGACGGAAACGGGGACGGGGAAACACTTAACTCAAAATATCAGGAAACGGGTACGGCAAGGAAACGTCAAGCTAAAAATTAATTTTTTTTACTAATATAAGTAATGTGTATGTCCAACAAATAGAAAATAATTAAACAAAACATACGTCCTTGTTATAATCCAATCTCCATACGCAATAAATAAAATTTAAAAAGTAAATGTTTCATTCACTTGTGCACCATCACTAACTTCTGAAGTACGTTCCATATTTGAGGATAAAGAAAGGTCCATAGCACTTACTAGAACTTATAAACAATTGAAATTGAAACAGCGAAGCCTCTCACCCAAAAACCCCTTGCCTTCTCTTCGGACCCGTCCAGTGAACCAGCACTCCCAGTCCAGGCGATGATGATGGTCTCTGTGTCAGCAGACCAGCCGTGAGCCGTCAGCCGCCCAGCTTGTAGCAGTCCAACGGTTGAAGCAAATAACCCTTACGCAAGAGCCAAACTTCGGTCGCAGGTATTTTTCACAAAGAAGACATTAAACCCGATCGATTGCCCAACCCTTTTCTTTAAAAAAAATTCAGAAGAAACGCGTCGGCCCACATGGATTGCCGTTTCCGAAACGTTTCCCCAACCCGGCCCAATAGCCCAAGACCTGAGAAACGTTTCCTTACGTTTCCCCTGCGTTTCTCGGCGTTTCCCAGCGTTTCGCGTTTCCGAAACGTTTCCGGGACGGAAACTTCCCCTCGATTCACGTTTCCGTGCTTCCTAGCTTTGGACTTGTCGAAATCAAACGCCTGTGATGGACCCTTCAATCATGAAACTCCTTGAAGAAGAGGAGGTTCTCTCACCCATACATTCCTTCCATGCGGCAGATATTCTTCTTTCGTTTCTGCATACCATCTATTTCTCTCTAGCTTTTTATATATATATTGTGGGGATCAAAGTTCACGGGATGAATCGATTGATTGAATTATACTTTTCCACAGGATGAAACAATGCATTCAGGTGCAGACGTGGAGGCGTTCACAGCTGCCCTAAATAGACACATCGAAGGGGGAGATGTTCCTGCTTCTCATCCTGCAGATTCATGTGGGGGTATGACCCCTGTTCAGCTTTACTTATATTTTATGATGAATAATAGGCTAATAGCACTTGCTTGATCCAAAGTAACTTCCTTTATATCCTTTGGAAGTTGCTTTGAATTATGTTTGCCATTATTTATTTGCTACAATTCTTTGTGATATTTACTTACTCAAAGAGTTGGAAAAGTGTTTGAGTTTCACTGGGAATCCCCCATTTTTTGATAGATAAAACACATTTCTTACTGTATTGCTTAACCTGGCTACATATCAGTATTTTGGGATCTTGTATTTCTCAGTATTCTGTCAAGGAATTTCTAAATTTTCTATGTTAGCATTAGTTTGGATGTACACACACAACTAATTAATCAAGACTATGTTATCAGACGGGAACGCTCAAACATCAAACCGGTTTGCTGAGTGGGAAACCGCCAATCACGGTGAAAATGCATTGCCTCAGACTCTAAAGGATTCCAATGTCTCGTTGCAGCAATCATTTAACAGCTCATCTGAAATGATGGAGCTAAAGCGATTGGGTCAAGATTCTGAGAATCAACAACAAAATGATTCCGCAAAAGATGCTTCTCAACAACCATCTCTGCCTGAGAAATCTATGCATAGCTCTGATAAGAACACTGTCCCTATGCTGGAGCATAACAGAACTCAAAATCCAGACCCTCAGTATCTCAAATTGAATACTCAACAGTCAATGCGCACAGCTATATCAGGTCAGCATACCATGTCTGTTGGGACAAGTAGCCAGCAGCAAAGGATGAACAGCCAAACAGAAATGGCTTCAATGATGGGGAGCCATTCTGCAGGCAATGTACATCAGCAAGGGAAACAAGTGCCGTTTGCCATGTTATTCCCTCACATACAGCCCCTACTCGATAAGGACAGAGGAATGCAACTCCATACTCTATACCTCAAACTAAGAGTTGGTCTCATGAACATCAGATTATTTTGTGAATCTCTTGTTTGTAAATGTTCTGTTCATCCTTGAAGGTTCTAATACTGGATATGTTTATACAGAGAAATGAAATTAGCAAGGAAGGTTTTGTTAAACACATGAGAAGTCTGATAGGCGACCAGATGCTTAAGATGGCTGTATATAAATTTCAGTCTCAGGTAAGCATTTAGGATCTGTTTGGATGAAGGGTTTTGGAGCGCTGAGTTTGTATCTTGATAAATAGAATGTTTGCAAAATAAATAAATGATCATTGAAATGTTATGCGGTCAAATATTCACATATCATTTTAATCATTTAATTTTTATAAATCTTTTTTCCATCATTTGCAATGGAGCCAAAGACTCACTATTTTTTGGCTTGGGAATATGGTGGAATAAAGAAAAATGGATCACTAAACTGTTTGTGCTTTTTTGTTATAAAGACTGCCTATGGGTCATCCCGAAATAGTCTCTCTGTGCTTTAGTACAGGTGTGAGACTGTGTACATCCAACACCCCCTTACCCCACCGAAGGTGGGAGCCTTTGCGGCACTGGGGTAACGATGATGATGATGAATTTTTATAAATCTTAAATATAAATCAGGATGTAGACTCTACTCCCTACAGAGGCTTTCCCTCCAAACCCCTTTAAAGACCCCATCAAATAGAGTCATAAACAACAGAACTTACGCTGTTAGTGTATCAGACTACTGCTCAACCTCTAAATATAAGCTTGACTCAGGCTGCAAGAGAGGCACAGTTTGGACAACCCAATCAGTTTCAACCAGAGGCACAGACTTCAATACAGCAACATCTGCAAACATCAAATGGTCCCATCCTATTCCTTATGAGTACGTTTGGGATCAGAAAATGATAAGGAAAGGAAATAGAGAGCAAAGGAAAATTTGGACGAAACAAAAATGGGAGAAAATAAATTATTTCATCAAACACAAGAAATTTATTTTTTATATTTCTGAAACTCATGTTGTTTAACTATTTCTTTTGCTTAAAGATCAAGAAACCTAAACATATTACATATGTAAAGTTTTTTAAAACATCAATATGTTTCATTTTCTTTTGCATTTTCCATGGTTCAACCACTCCCACAAGAATAACAATCCTTTGTTATGCTTTTCCTTATCCCCTAGCATATTCTGCGATCCAAACATACCCTAAATAGAACATGTATCACTTGTATTTTTTGTGAGAATGTTCCGACCCTATTACCTTCCTAAATTTCATTTCATCTATTGCATGGAAATATAAACAGATCCAAGCAACTTGGCAATCAATAGTAATGCTCAGAAGTTGCATGAGGCAGATCACCAGCCAGATTTACATGGATTGCTAGGAAGCCAAGTGTCTTCTTCTAATTTGGCCGCAATAAAACAAGAAAGGGAACATCCAACATTTCCTCTACAGGGAGTTAGTAACAATCAACCGAAACATTTTCACTTTCCACAGGCATCTTTTTCTCCATTTGCGAATATGGGGAACAATTATCATCCATACTCTGCGACAAATACTTCATCAATGTCGACACCTCTTAAATCCCAGCCACAGGATCAACATTTGAGGCCAACTCAATTAGGACCTGGAAGTCAGACTATGAATATGATGACTACCCCTAAGTTTGACAGGCAAAATTCATTTGGTGAACCAAGGAGACCGGTTGCCCATATGATAAGTGGTTCGATTGCACAACAGAGTTCAGCTCACTGGCAGTCAGCAGGCAATAAGGAGAGGAGAAGTATACTGCAACCACCCATGATGAATGTGAAAGCAGAACCAACAGATCATTTACATGACCAGCAGCATAAATCTCAGCTGCCTTCTACTCCCTTCACCCATGTACAAAATGAATCAGGACCTTCGACTCTAGGAACTTCAAATGATGAAACTTTTGATGTGCAGTCTTCTACAATGGGTTTCTCAACAGCTGGACAGCGAGTTGCTCAAAATTCAGTCGCGACATCCATGCCATCCCAAGTTGACACGAGTAATTCGGTAGTTACCCTTGTGCTTTTTGTTGTTATGGTGATGAAATGCCTTCTACGTGTATGCCTTGCATACTCTGCTATCTACTTTAATAAATTCAATGTAACTATATTTAATATTCCCCTGTTCTAAAAATAGTTACATTTAACACAATGAAACACACAAAAGTTCAATTTTAAAAGTCAGTTTCAAATTTTAAGTAAATTCCCTTAAAGCGAAGTGATGATTTATACTCTGATAAATGCTTATCTTGATTGAGCAGACTCAAAATAAAAAGCCATACCTTACTCAAATAGGACTCTTTTTTTTAGGTGAATCGAGTACTTGTGATGTTTTTACTTGGACTGTAATTTGTCCCAGACCAGATCAGACCAGTCCAAACCAGTTCATATCAGACCAGACTTGGATAGTTATAAAAATACAAAGAAACCAGACCTTACCAGACCAGTTCAGACCAGACCGGCAAATTTTAGTCCAAGTAAAAACATCCTTGGTTATTATTGGTCGTTATACATCATTGATTCAAAAAGGAAGATTGTATATAAATAGGTTGTTGCTTGAGTCTCGAAATCAATTTATCACATGTCTGTTTATGATAAAAGCCGAATCACAGAAATTTGTGGTTAGTTTTTGATAGAGTAAAGGATGATAATAAAAAAGCAACTAAAAGTCTACACTCTACCTCTCACATCTTTAATTGCTTATCTGCGTCCTAGGTCTTCCTGTGTATTTTTTTTTGCTGTTTTACTATTATAACCTTCAAGAAGTATCTCTTACTTCAGTGATATGTCACATGCTTCATGTTTGTTTCCTGTTTTCCTCATGCTTGTTTTATCTCTACCCTTTATTCTTAGTTAAACTCCAACACACTTCCTACTACGTCTCCTAATGGGCTTGGAAATAATGGCAAAACTCTTCCAAAGAAGCCTTCTGTTGGCCAAAAGAAGCCACTTGATGCACTTGGATCTTCACCTCCTCCTTCAGGGTATAAAATATTGCTTCTTATAGTGAGCGAGAGCGGGATAGTGACAGAATGCGTGTGTTTTCATACCAATGCATATGCTTCTTTTTAGTGGTTAATTGTGGGAGATTTATAGGAAGAAGCAGAAGGTATCTGGGGGCTTTTCAGATCAAAGCATTGAGCAACTCAATGATGTCACTGCTGTTAGTGGAGTTAATCTCAGGGTAAGATGTCTACTTTTCAACATCTTTAAGCAACTGATTTACTGGATTCCAAGTGTAGTAAATGAGGTGTTTGTTCTCAGTTTTGTTCGTAGTATTGTGATATTGTGTGTAAAACAGGAAGAAGAAGAACAACTATTTTCTGGTCCCAAGGAAGATAGTCGAGTTTCCGAAGCTTCACGACGAGCTGTTCAAGAAGAAGAGGAACAGTTAATTTTGCAGAAAATTCCACTTCAGAAGAAATTGAATGAAATAAGTAAACATTTTTTATTTATTTCCCTTAATGCTTCTTAGAATAACCTTACAGTTAAAATGGATTCAGTTCTATAACCACCTTTTTTGTTTCTGACAGTGGGAAAATGTGGACTAAAGAATATGAGCAATGATGTGGAGCGGTGCTTATCATTGGTGGGGATCATATCTTCTTGTTTTCGTAACTTGTTTGTAGATTTTCTTCATGCTACTGATTTTTCAACTTTCAGTGTGTTGAGGAAAGGATGCGTGCACTGATAAGTACTATCATCAGACTATCAAAGCAGGTAGATACAAATACTATTATTAGACACATTTAATACCAGTATTTGGCCTCAATACACACTATTACTTAATTTGGTTCCATTTGGTCTGCAACAATGTAATTCAGACTCAATCTAGTCCTCATATATATTTCTCTCTAACTAAGCACACTGAACAAACAACCTAGTAGTCTAGTGCTCGTGCCTATGACATTGATGACTCAATTGGGTTCAAGTTGTACAGTTGAGGGTCCAGGTTCAGTTCAGAATATGTCCTAAATCTAGTAAAAACAAAAATACCCTTCTTATTTACAACCAAATGTGTATGAGGACTAAACTTGACCCTCATTTCATATTTGAGGTCCAAATTGAGTAATGGTTACAGTCGTTGTAATCAATCGGGTATTACTTCTTAGAGACATATATTTCTATCAGTGTTCTACAATGGGGACATTAAGAATGTAAACTATAGAGAAACATTCTTATGTAGCACACATTCATTGGTTGATGAAAAGTTAGATTTGATATCATCAACTAATGAATATAAGCCACATATGAATGCCTATGTACTGTATCCATTTTAATGTCATCCAACACTTATTCATATGATGGCACTTATCTGTAAACTGGATTAATGTGCATGGTATAGAGAGCTGACTTTGAGAAGACAAGGCACAAAACAATTGTTACCTCTGATGTTCGCCAACAAATCATGACAATGAACAGAAAGGCCCGGGAAGAATGGGAGAAGAAGCAATCTGAATCTGATAAACTCCAAAAGACTAATGAAGTTAGTTTTCTTGCCTTTTGCATCACTAATAATATTTCTCTTTATTTGAGAAATAGTTACGTGTGGAAAATGATAGGAAATAAAATTTGAGAAATTGTCCTAAATAGGACTAAAATCTAAACATAAATGCACAAATAGGATTCAATGTTTTTTATTCCCTAAACATGACTAAACATTACCTTTCCACCCATAATTTAAGTAATTAATATAATTAATTGCCCCCTAGTTCTCTTGCATAACCGGGTCAGTCCATTGGTGGCGGGGCGTTTGGTGGTGGCGGGCTGGCGGCAGTGGCAAGTTGGCGGCGGCAGAATTCTGGCGATTTTTAGTGGCGGCGGCAACGACAGAGACCAACAGCTGCAATATGGTGGTGGCAAATTTATGGCGACCGGCGGCAGAGCTTCGGCAGCTGGCGGCCGGCGACGGGTGATGACAGCAGGTGGTGGCAGCAGGCTTGGAGGGGTATTTTTGTCAAAACACAAATAAATACTCGTATTTAGGGAATTTCAAACAATAGCTCCTGTTTTTGCATTTGGCTCATGTTTTACTCCTATTTTGGCCATTTGAAGAATTCACTCATAGAATTTGGACAATAATAAAATTTTGAGGAAAGTAAAAGATATGTCAAACTCCTTTAACTCATGCTAGATTTTTATTCGATCTAATATTTATCTATTTCTATCATGTAAATGTGTGATCACTAAGAATATACTCCCTCCGTCCCGCTATTAACTTCCTGCTTTCCTTTTTGGGCTGTCCCAAAATCATCTTCTCATTTCCCTAAATGGAAAGTTATCCTACATCAAAACAATGTCAAACAGTGCAAAATAGTGCCAAACAGTGTCTAAACAGTGCCAAACAGTGTCTAAACAATAAGGTCAAATTTATTTCCTAAATATGTGTGTAGGTCAAAGTAGGAAGTTAATAGCGGGACGGAGGGAGTATATAGATATTTGTTTCAGCATACCTAATTATGTTTCATTTTCCTATGAATTTGGCAATGTAGAGCAGAACATAAGAGAATAGCTTTCCTTATTAATTTTCCCTACCCCTGGCATTTTCCGAGAAATAACTATACATAACAAATGTAATTACTTAACACTGCAGTCAGATAGTAATAATGCAGCTGACAGTGATAGAGACAGGGATGACGGCCTAGCAAAATCACTGAAGGTATACAAACATTTAATTCAATATACTAGTTCATTAAAAAAGTGGTGTGCGCCACCATAAGGCATCCCCCAACTGCCGGCTTGACATTCGATGGATGAGGTAAATCCCGGCGACTCAAGCAAATGAGGGGAGTTGGAATTGATCCCATGACCTCACGGCCATAGACTCTCCAGACACTTAAACCCTCCTCCTCAACCACTTGAGCTACCCGGACAGGCACTAGTCCATGGGTATATGTGGGTGCGCGCACAACATATTAAGGGTGGTGCAGTTCACGTTGGCATCCCCACAACCAGCGAGAGTCTGGGGAAGGGTCCTACTACAAGGGTGTATAGGAGACAAGCCTTCCTTTTCATTTGACAAGAGGCTGCTCCCAATACTTGAGCCAGTGACCTCTCTGTTTCGCATGTATATATAATACATACTACATATTATATTAGAGTTTTATGAGTGGTCTTCTTGTCAGGTCGGCCTGACGGGATGCTCTGTCCGGCTGAGCCCGTTTGGGCACCTTCCCGGTGGAATTTTTTAATGAAATTTTTTGAGCATGTTCCTCATCAAGTCTAGTTTGTCCATACCAAATTTCAGCTCAAAATTCGATTGGGAAGACATTCAAATCATTTTTTGAAGTTGACTGCGTCAAAATATACATATAAAACTGCAGTCAACTTCAAAAAATGATTTGAATGCCTTCCCGATCGAATTTTGAGCTGAAATTTGGTATGAACAAACTAGACTTGATGAGGAACATGCTCAAAAAATTTTATCAAAAAATTCCACCGGGAAGGTGCCCAAACGGGCTCGGCCGGACTGAGCATCCCGTCAGGCCGGCCTGACATGAAAATTTGTCTATTATATTATATGTATGTATATATGCCTAACAATATACTTTCAAGGTAAACAAGGAAGATGATGATAAGATGAGAACAACAGCGGCAAACGTTGCTGCTCGAGCTGCTGTTGGGGGGGATGATATGCTGTCCAAGTGGCAGATGATGGCAGAACAAGCTAAGCAGAAACGGGATGCAGCTTCTGCTCCACATCATGGTAAAGATATTCTTCAGAGGCCATTGTCATCTTCGTCTAGGAATAGTAGGGACCACCACGACGGTGAAAAAAGGAGCTCATCAACTTCCACTATCACACAAGGTATATATGGTTTGATTTAAGACTAATCTTGCATCATTTTAACTTGTGCTGAAAATGAGCTATTGTATCAATTATTAATAGCAGGGGACTAATTTTTACTACCTCCATCCCATAAAAAGAGTCAAGCTTCAAAGGTTTTTTCCCAATAATTAGTGAAGCCCACCTCCTATTTGCTCCTTAACAATTTTGTGATCCAATTTAGTTTTTCCGCATTGAACTTGGACCCATATTAGTTCAAATGCAAATTTGGTTCTAAATAAGAAGACTATTTTCGTCCACTCACTAAATTTAGATTGTATTTAGGGCTCAACTTAATACAGTTGTTCTTGCAAAAAGCATTCCCAATTTTCAAGAGGGATTTTCCAAAATAGGAGAAAAAAATAAGGTCTTTTTCTAAAAAAGGACTATCTTCCCCCCTCCCCGAAACAGGAGTAGAGTACTTTCATCCTAAAATCATAGTCATATTATGGTTTTGCATATTCGAAATATTGAAATACACAAGTTTCTAGATCCGTGATGATTAGTTGTCAGAACTCTAATTGTTAACTTTTTTATGCATGTTGACTTTTTATGCATGTTGACTTTTTGCACGTTGACTTTTTGCAAGTCCACTATATTGGTACACACTTGAATACAATACACAAATTAGTTGGTATACAAACATAGAGTTAAGAATTTTCCATCATTTGCAATGGAGCCAAAGATTCATTATTTTTTTGTTTGAGAATATGATGGAATAAAGCAAAATGGCTCACCTAACTGTTTGCGCTTCTTTGTTATGAAGTAGCGATCAGTCCATGCAGTTTTGGACGTGTTTTTCACTATGGGTCATCCGGAAACAGTCTCTCTATGCTTTAGTACAGGGATAAGACTGCGTACATCCGACCCCCCTTATCCCACCGTAGGTGGGAGCCTTTGCGGCACTAGGGTAAATGATGATTGATGATTGACAAACATAGAGTTAAGAATGTGAATTTCATTTTAATACAATTAACTGGGGAAATTCAACTGGTTCATAAATAATTTCATAATTTGTTACCCCCACACAACCCACGGGTGAAAGACTAGTTGTCATATTATGACTTTATATAAGGCATTAATATGAAAATTGCCATAATATGACCATATCTTTTTGGATGTTAGTACTTATGGAGTATTTTTTTTAGAAAAGATAATATTCTTATTTATTGACATCCCATTTAGGGCGTCTAATTTGTTTAATGTATGGGAACAGCACATAAATGGGCATTTCAAGTTTATGGGTTTTTGAAACGGCAAAGTGTGAGCTCCTCATCCATACAATTGGAACATTCTAGTCCTTATGGTACATAAATACATGAGGACCAAAGTGCACCTGAAACTAGGGGTCGGTTAGGTTACGCGAACCGACATAGCTAAATATCATTCTGAACCGACATTTTGATTTCTAGAATTCTAGTAACCGAAACAGAACCAATGGCTTTCGGAAACCAAGTTTTTAGTTACCAAAATTTCGTTTTCATTTTAAAAGAAAACTGAATCCGATCAACTTTAACCTATGGTGTTGGTAAGACCCCTTGAACACCACACATATTTAAATTAGCTTGCAAAGAGAAGTATATCTAGGCGAATGGGAATGAGGGATCATCCCTTTTCAACTGGTGTGGGAATTATTTTCACATGCATGAACAAAATAAGGGGAACAACGTGGCATAGGTGATTCGAGCTCGAGTGACAGTCAAAAGCAGCTATTTAAAATCAGTTGGTGAAATTCACAAGAATAATCCATACTTTTATGAATTCTACAATAATAATCCATACTTAGAGTGTCTATAAATATAATCCGTACTAACAATAGTGTCCATAAGAATAAATTAAAATTAATTCAAACCAATGCTCATTTAATATTCCCGACCCCAATTTTCACTTTCTCATTCATCATTCTTCGTCTCGGGGTAGAGAAAAGTGGGAGTAAGTGTTGGAAATATTAAACGGGCATTAATTTGAATTCAACTAATTTATTCTTATGAATACTATTGCTAGTTCGGATTATTTTTGTGGACATTCTCAGTAGGGGTTATTATTGTAGAATCCCTAAAAGTAACGATTATTCTTGTGAATTTCGTCAAATCAGTTTAATATTTTTAAACGGGTAGGGTCCACAATGGGTTAGAACATGTATCATACCTGACCCATTATCAAAACATATAACGGGTCCGGGTTTAGATAAACAAAATTGGGCTTAGATAAACAGAATCAAACCTGGAGCTACACCCTTTAAAATGGCGGGTCGTGGTCGGGCCCGTTTCTATGCCCAACCATTGACATACACTGATACACACAAGTATCTGAACATAGGTGTTGGAAAGGAAAATCTGTTCTCCATGGCGCATGCTTTAGAGCTACATTTACTTCTATTGTATTATGTGCGTGGATTTTTTTCTGTAGGAGGAGATGATAAGAGTGGCGGGAGATACCAGAGTGTGTCTCAGAGTAGAGTTGGTTGCAGCATTACTGTGAAAGATGTGATCGCTGTCCTGGAAAGGGAGCCACAAATGTCTAAGTCTACATTAATTTATCGTCTGTATGAGAGAATCCGTTCTGATACTTCAGCAGAATAGATTTGGTGCTGGAATTCACGCTATAATAGTATCAATTAAAGAACAAACTGATTATCTCTTTTTGCCTATGTTTCTTATCCTCTTTCATTTTTACCTAGTAACCCCTTGTTGCTTAATAATTATTTTTGACAAGTGAAAGCAGAAAACAAGGGGTTGTATCACTCTGATACACCGTTTTAAGGACAACAGAGAGTTTCTTCCACAGTTCCACCCATTCGATTCTTTTATTCAGGTATCAGACTATGTTTCTTAAGGATCGGACTGGACCGGGCAGGTCAACTTGGAACCCGACCACCCGGAGCCCAATCCGGTCCGGTAGCCCATCAAAATCGCTAATGTGTCCGAACCCAGATTTACCTGCCTAATCTGCCGGACCCGAACCATAACTGGGATGGCCCATACCCGGAAAGTAAGTTAAATCCCGAATCAATTGCAAAATATGTCACCAGGGGGATTCAAAGTTTCAAACCAACAAACCCTGGTTCTACAACTTGAAAATACAGCCCCCAAAGTGGCCCAAACCAGTGAACTGTGTTGGGAAGTTGTTACATTGTATTCTTCAACTGTATACTCCGTATAATATTTATGCTGTTTTAGTCAATACATTACAGTCTAACTACTACTTGGTAATTAATAATCATTATAAAAATATAACATCATTAATAAAATACATCAATAATATAACTATTATCATTATTATTGTTATTGTTATAATAATAATAATAATAATAATAATAATAATAAGTGAAAGCATTTATGTACTCCATCCTTAAATAAATTATCAAATGGTTGGTTCCTTGGTTGGTCATCGTACATTCGTACTCTTTTTATTATCTCAAGTCAACCAATGTTCTAAAAGGCGTTAGGCGCTAGTCGGGCGCCAGTCAAGCGCCTGGTGCCTAGGCGGCTAGGCGGGCGCCTAGTCGGGGACTAGTCGGAGACATAGAAATTGCATTTTAGCTATATTTTTGCAGAAATATAATAAGTAATTCTGTATTTTTGTGTGTAAAAAATACATATATACACATACATTGACAAACATGAATGATAGAATTATCACATTTAATCATACGTAGTATATGATAACTAATCACTTAACTTCACTTAAATTCGGCGAATCTAGACGGTCTAGGCGGCCGATTAGGCACTCTAGGCAGGCAACTAGGCGCCATAGGCGGCCGACTAATTCACCTAGACGGCAAACCAATCAGTCGGAGCGCCTAGACGAAAATCAGGGTGCCTGACCACCGCCTAGCGCCTAGGCGGGGACTAGTCGGGCGCCTAGAACGATTTTTAGAACAGAGATCTCAACCAAAGTAACAAAGAAATAACCGGGACTACAAAGTTTATGTTCTAGAAACTAAAATGAGGAATAGAAATATACGTGAAATTAATTAACCTGAAAATTGTGATTTATTATTTTTCACCAGCTTTGTGCCTTTGTCACTTCGGAAGCTCCAAATTTCTTCTACTCAAAGCTCCTTCAAAAATAATTTTCACGGCCCCCCATTCCAGTTCATGTTTATTCCTTAGTATAAGTGTATAACCCTTCCTTACGCACAACCATTTTTCCTTGCACAATTCAGAAAATACATCCATATAGTTCAAGAAATGGTAAAAATACTCTCTTTATTCTCCGTATATAATTTGGGCTTCGGCTGCACAAAATCCTTCTTTTTTTTTTGCAAAACATCTTTAATTATAGCTATTAATGGATTTTTGTTAAGCGTGTTCATATATGGAACATACATTATTGTTATTATTATTATCGTCCTTGATAATGAAGATGTATGTACTTATATTTATTCATGATAATTGTATCTGTGCTTTAAAATTAAGTACTACGTATCACATCGATTTATATATCCATAATGTTTGATGCTCATTATTGACTTACGCTTCATTTTTACATTAGTAAAAGATCTGATTTTACAAACAACTAATTATTATAACCAGCTAAAGTTTGTTCAAGAGAACTATTGGCTGTTACATACATCAACTTTGCATATAACATATGCAACTAATAAACTACACAAACTATGTACAACCGAGTACGTATATGGTACATCCGGCTGTACGGTGAGAGCACCGTACAGCCGGCCCAGTAACAGGTCCAAGAAAAAAATAACAAAATAATTCGGTGGCACTTTTGTAATTAAGGTAAAAATCGTGGTTTCTGCTAAATGAACATTGATGTACTGTTAATGAGCAATGGTCCACTTTTAATGAGTATTCAACGTCTAATAATGAGCACCATGTTATTACAAGAAAGCTGATATCACAATTAAAAAACGGTGGCATTTTCATAATTTCGGTGGAAATTGCGGTTTTCGTTAGATGAGCATTAATACACTTTTAGGATGTTTTTACTTGGACGGTAATTTGCCCCAGACCAGACCAGTCCAGACCAGACCAGACCAGTTCAGACCAGACCAGACCAGACCAGACTTGGATAGTTATAAAAATACAAAGAAACCAGACCTTACCAGACCAGACCAGACCAGTTCAGACCAGACCAGACCAGACCAGCAAATTACAGTTCAAGTAAAAACATCCTTAATGAGCATCAGACGTATTCTAATGAGCATTAAAAGTCGAATAATGAATATTGTGGTATCAACTTCATATATTGTAATTCACTTTGTTTTTCTTATTTTTTCTTTTATAAAAACTCAACAAAATATATCTATAATCAATTTCTTTGAATTTCAATATGCGAATATAATGTAATATGGTACTTTTGAAATATGCATTGTTATGACATTTTAAAAATGAGAATAACATGAGTACCAATTGAGTATATGTAACTTACAAAATGAGCATAAATATGATCATATAAACTTTGTTAGTTGATCATCAAGACATTTTTCATTGAGCATTAAACCTCCTTTATTGAGTATTAGAAGCGTGCAGTTGAGTACCAATTGAGCATTCGTAAATTATAAAATGGGCATTAGTATGACAATCATAAGATTTTTTAATTGAGCGAGCATCAAGACGTTTTCATTGAGCATCAAATTTCCTCTATTGAGTATTAAAAACATGCAATTGAATATCATGGTCTATGCTCTCGTATCTGTAATTAACTCCTACTTGAATCTAATGTAATATGTTACTTTTGAAATATGCATTGATATAACATTTTAATATGCAATTGAAATATTTTTAGTCTTTAAAAATTAAATGTTACTAAAGAACATATAAGAATATCTTTTTTAACAGTCAAACATATCTATACTATCGGTATGTGCATTTCCATTATATTTTGAAATGAGCATAGTGCAAGTAGCAAATGAGCAAAAATTACTTACAAAATGAGCATTAAAAATTTTGAAATCTCACTTATGTCCGGATGTCATGATCTCATTAAATAAATTAAGTATTGTATGCTCATTTGAAATTTTAATTGTACTCATTTTTTATGTCATATCGATGCATGTTCATTTCGATGTTCATTTCTTTTAAACGTTATACGCATTTGATTGTAATATAAAACTCATTTTTATAATCGACATGTATCATATATTCACCACAAACAACTTAATAGAAATAGACTTAATTACTAATCCATAAATAGATTGAGCAATGAGAAATATAACAAGTTTATTAGAAAAAATAATTTATAATTTACTATCTTTGACATATAAGTTTATTGTACTTCCTTTATACTTTTCCACTCATGCACATTAAATTAAACATTGTACTCATTTTATTAAAACACAAAACTCATTTCAATAACTTACATGTAAGTTTAGCACATTACTTCTATACTCATTTGGGCATAAGATAAAACTCACTTAAACCATTTGTAAATATATACAGAGTATACTTTATACTATACTAATTTTACAACTTAATATCGATGCTCATTTCTTTTAAATGATATGCTCATTTATGTGTAACACAAAATTCATTTCAATATTAACATGGAATAAACACATTTCAATTCAAACTAATAAAGTTAGCTATGTTTCCTGGTTTATCATAGAAAAATGTTGGGAAAGCATATTTCAACAATTTTACAGAATGTTTAAACATCAAACTAAAAAATTTACATAAAAAGATCTAAAATTTAATAAAATCGTATAATTAGAAAAACCTTAGTAAAATACTCCTATATTTTAGATAGCAGATTTTATGCAAAACAAATCATAATCATGTTAACGTCTTATACATGTGCATAAAACAATAAAGTAATTTATCCAGAAAAAAATGAACATTCACTTTGGAATTTTTTCAAACACTTGGTGGACATTCAATATTTAGGAATCAATTTTAAAAATATAGAGAATTACTAATGAAAGAGGGAGAAAGGTTTAAATCAAATCGTCAGATCAATTGGTATATTTTGAAATTCACACGAAATGGAATCAACACTTGATCTATCAGCTCTTGTGCACTCATTGGTTATTCTTGAGTTCCCTGAAGAAAAGTAATCATATAACTCCTTCGCCCAACAAAAACTTATGATCCATAGATAACCTTTTGTAGGAAAGTAAATCGAATACTCCGTATTATTGATATTAAAGAAAAAAGAAGAAAGTAGAAAGATTCTTGATAGCAGCAAGTCAGACAAAGGCAGGGAAGGAATAGCCGGGAAGTACGAACGAACAAAGCAGCAAGCACTCTAAGGAGAACATAACACCTTACCTTTGCCATTAGAATTGCAAATAATTACAAAAAAACCCGATTATACCATGTCCTAGATACAGCCGGCTGTACGGTATAAATTAACATGTACAACCAGTCAACCAATGCTAGCATGTGACATAAACCAATATTATTCACAAATAACATTTATCTGTGTGATTGTGTGAACAAATTGAGAGCTTTCAAATAAATGATCTTTTGTAACCAAAAAAATTATCTTTACACGAACACAACATGTTGGCATGTGCACAAGCTATTGGCCCGCATTTATTTAAGCTACAAATACGAAAGTTGTTGTAAATTTATTTCAAAGATTAAAGTTGTCCATATGAAGTTATGAACAATGTATATGTCTTTAGATATGTTTTTCACATGGGTAATTCTAAACACAACCCACTTTTTACTAAAACAGCCACTAACTAAATTAAATGCCTACTATATCCCTATTATTGCCCCTTACTCTGTGATCACAGTCGATCGAATTCCCCAATAATAAACTCCCTATGTAGTTTAAATATATACATATCACTAAAGAAAAACGAAGTGATGATAGAATGGAAAAGAGAAAAATTAGATAGATGAAAAATATGAGATGCAAGAAAGTCTCAGAGTAAACGTACGAAGAATATAATTTTGATTGTGTCTTTATAGATGAGATCAAATTTTGGAGAAGTTATCCGCAATAGGAAGCAAGATCGGGTCACGAAGTGCTGGAATACTGGCGTTTGAGGATTATTATTGAGAAATATAAATAATCTGAAACGGCAACAACAAATATGAACAAACAGATTTTAGTAGCTGTATGAGACGGAAACCATCGTGTCTTTATAGACAAGATAAAAAATTCGAGAAGTTATTTGCAATAGGAAGCAAGATCGGGTCACCAAGGTGGTTGTATCTCTAGCCGGCGTTCTTGGATGGTGCTGGACTACCGGCGTTTGAACTCTCTTCTTTTAGATCGGCAATCACAAAGAGAGTACTGTGATAATAATAATAGGGATATAATAGACATTTAATTTAATTAGGGGATGTATTTAGTAAATAGTGGGCTGTGTTTAGAATTTCCCTTTTCACATGTATTATTATTTCAACCCAAACCCAATTTGAATTTTGAGGAACCTGCGCACAGAGCCCAATTATATACAAAGGCAAGGAGCTCCAGGCCCAATAATCCGAGTGGGAATGCTACGAGCAGGCCGAAAAATACTGTAGCGAAAAATCTCGTAGCTGGATTAAGTGATTAACGATCATTTTCGGATTAACCGCCGCGGGAGGGACACGGATTTGGATAATGGAGACTGGGAGATGGAGAGGGACAACATCTAAAATGGGCTGGGGAGAAACGTCTTCTAGCTTTGCCATAGCTTAGCTTAGCTTCTTCATCAGATCCTTCGCCTCCTTGGGAGCCATTGGATATGTCTCAGGCGCGAGTCTACGCCGATGTCAACGTTCACCGTCCTAAAGATTACTGGGACTACGAGGCTCTCACCGTTCAGTGGGGGTAATGCTAGCTTCTTTTACTCTTCCCATGCCAAAACCCTAATTGTTCATCTGCTTTGTTCCCATTTTGAACTTTACGTTTTACCTTTCTGAATATGGAGTATTAAACTTTTGTTTATGATGGTAACGAATGAATTTAGCTCTCAGCTTGGTATTTCGTGGTGTTCATAAGCTGATTCTGAATTATTTTAGCCATTTAGTAGGAGAATGCATTATTTTTCAGTAATGCATTCAGAACTCAGAAGTGAATTTTGAGCTAGGAGTCTAAGATATCTTTTACATAAATTGCATTATCTGCATTCAGTGATCAGGATGATTATGAAGTTGTTCGGAAAGTGGGAAGAGGTAAATACAGCGAGGTCTTTGAGGGGATAAATGTCTCGAATAATGAAAAATGCATCATCAAAATCCTTAAGCCTGTGAAGAAGAAGAAGGTAAAGTCTATACACCTCGAGGGAGTTTCACTCAATTTTCTAAAATGTGGATATGTATATTTAGAAAGATCTACAGCAGCGTGACTTGTGTGCACAATATACTATTACCAAAAGTGTGTACCATCACATAAAATGTTATAGAATTCCCATAATACACACACATGTATGTATGTGTGTGTATATATATTGCTTAGCTTCATGTGCGATGAGACATATGCTGTGAAAATGCAAAATAAGAAATTGCACCGGTCAATAGATAAAAGTGTTCCAGTTGCTTCTTAAGGTGCAATTTATGTAGTAAATATGCACTTTAAAGTTGTAACGATTTAAGAAATTCTGAACATTTGATGAAAGTCTGATCTAAGACACTTAAGTGCTTACTGTATCAATAGTTAGAAAAATGGTTCAAAATATCACCTTCTTATTCTTCTTATATGAGTGTGTGTATGCATGCTTGCATGTATATCTGTAAGTTACTTACAGTAAGTATTTATCTGAAATCTCCTCCTACAACAGTTTTTTGTATTTTTGTAATTGCATCTTTAAAATGCATCTAATGTGGCAATTTCTTTGCATTATCTACTCATGTAGGAATCATTTTCTCTAGTTCATTTTTCCCTTCTAATTGTCCCTCACATTATCTTGTTAGTTGCAACTTCTCTCTCTAAAAACTAAAGGCTAAACCTTCCTAGTGGTGCAGATAAAAAGGGAAATAAAAATACTTCAGAATCTTTGTGGAGGCCCAAATATTGTGAAACTCTTTGATATTGTCCGAGATCAGCACTCAAAAACTCCCAGTTTGGTGTTTGAATACGTGAACAGCACAGATTTCAAAGTCTTGTATCCTACACTGACAGATTATGATATCCGCTACTACATTTATGAGCTTCTCAAGGTTCTCTTTTCATTCTCTATTACTACTACATAGATCTTATTTACATCTTGCTTTTGTCCCACCTCTGGCATTTCTTGTTGCGAAGGGAGTTGGATGTTCTTGTTTTGTGGAGTTTGGTTGATAGGAATCAGGGCCACCAACCTATCCAGTATTTTAAAAATGTTTATCAAAGGAGAAATAAGGGGTTAAGGGGGTAAAATAGGGAAGGAACTATCCAGGTGGTCCCTGCGTGGACAGTTACTATATATAGTAAGGAGAGGTAGCTAATAAAGGCTAGGTTATCATTTATCTGGATTGTTGCCTTGTAGCCTAAGTCCGTGTTACCTGGTTGCCTACGGTTTACCTATCTCATCAATAAACATCTTTTCCCTATCCTTTCTATCAGATCTATACTTGTTTGTTTATTGTGTTGCTCAGATTATCGCCAGGTACCTATCATTGGTATCAGAGCACTCGATCCTGGGGATCACAAGTGAAGTGCGACTACAGTAGAGTTCTTTTTTCAGCATCATTGTGAGGTAGCGACTGCAACCTAGCTCTCGTTTTCTGAAGTGCGATTACTTCAGAGCAATCACCGCCCCTGGAGATCAGATTAGGAGGGTGGCTTCAGCTAAGCTTTAGCTTAGAGGTGAATGGTCAAAACTAGATCGAAAATGGAACATCGCGTGGATCCGTTGGAGCAAGAGATGAAGACGGCAATGGCTACGATGAATGAATAGTTCCAGAGCAACCTAGTGGCTTCTATGGCCGCGATGACAGAACAGTTCCAGAACAACCTAACCGCTTCTATGGCCGCGATGTCGGAGCAGATCCAGAGCCTTCGCAACAAGCATCGAGGAAGATCGCCATCACACCACCACTACCGTTCGAGGTCACCACACAATCCAACGAATTCCATAGGTAATTCTGTACATTCATCACTCCACAATCGTCGGGTTCATATGGGTAGAAAAGTGGATCTGCCCTCAGTTTAATGGGGATGGTGCTTACAACTGGGTAGTAAGAATGGAACGCTGTTTTAGATTGAATAGAACTGATGAGAAAGACAGGGTTGAGGTAGCCATTGTGGCTATGGAGGATAGTGCATTGAACTGGTTCCAATGGTGGGAACAACAGGTGGAGGAAAGAACCTGGGATGATCTGAAAGATGCGGTGATCCGCCGATTTCAACCTGATTTGTTACATAACCCTTTTGGGCCCATGTTGAGTTTGAAACAAACTGGAACTGTAACAGATTATTGGGATGAGTTTGAAATGGTTATAGCCCCACAGAAGAACATAGACAGGGCTATGCTGCGAGGCATTTTTATCAATGGCCTCAAGGATGAAATTAAAGCTGAATTGAAACTCTTCAATGGCAAATCTCTAGCTGCTATCATGGACAGGGCTCAGCTGATTGAACAAAGAAATGATGCTATGTACACTAAGGGTAAAATGGCAGAGAAATTAGAAGGAAGGGATAAGGGATCCATGAACTATACACAATCTGTTTGGGGTGAGGGATACAAGCCAAAAGCTGGGGGTTCAGGATCCCAGGCTAGTGGCAGAAATACTCCAGGACAACAAGCGCATGCATCGGTCTAGCCCAGATTCTGACTTAGAGGAGTTCAGTCATAATCCAACGCGCTTATCAACCAAGCGCGATGACCAGCAGGGCAGTCAACCATGGTTTAACCCGGGGGGAAGGAAGGTAAATGAAATGCGTCAATCAGGGATAAGAAAGGTGTGGACACACTTGTCCCAGGATGAATATCAAGAAAGGAGTAGACGGGGGCTGTGCTTCAAGTGTGGGGAAAGGTGGAGCAAGGAACACACTTGTAAACTAAAAAATTACAAACTAATATTAGTAGAAGATTCTGAGGAAGAGGAGGGAGTAGAAGAGGCAGGAGGGGACATTCCAGAGGAGGAGGAAATAGTGATGGAAGCTAAATCCATGTAGCTTTTGTTAATGAGCAAGGAGGGAATTCCCTCTATGAGACCTTTCAAGGTCAGTGGTACATTAAAAGGAGCATTGGGGGGGGCGGGGGGGGGGGGGGGAACTAAAATGGAGGTGTTTATTGACATGGGGCTACCCACAACTTCATAGCCCAAAGAGGTGTGGACCAATGGAAGATACCATACAGTACCATCTCTGGCTATGGGGTGCAAATTGGAAATGGGGATAAGCTGTTGAACAACAGGAGATGTGAAAAACTGAGTCTAAACCTGCAGGACACAAAGATTCAGCAGGATTTCTACATTCTTGAACTAGGGGGCACTGACATGGTGTTGGAATGGAATGGTTGACCGGTTTAGGTGATGTGTAGGTCAATTTCCAGAAGCAAACCATAAAGTGGAAGGAACTGGAAAAATGCAGCAAATACAGAGGGATTCACAATTAAACACTGCTGAAGTATCTTTGAAAACCATGGTTGAGATACTAGAAGATGCAGGGGATGGGTATTTGGTTTACTGTGAAGGGCAGGCTGGGGAAATTGAAGAAGAAAGTGGAAAAGATCAAATCTGGCAACACATCCTAACTGAATTTCCTGAAGTTTCCAAACCTTTTAAGGGACTGCCACCCCGAAGAAGCTGTGACCATGCTATACATATCCAGGAGGGAGCCAATATTCCTAATATTAGACCATACAGATATCCCCAATATCAGAAGAGAGAGATTGAGAGAATCATCAAAGACATGCTAACTGAAGGTATCATACAACCCAGTAATAGCCCTTACAGCAGCCCTATTCTATTGGCAAGAAAAAAAGATGGGGGTTGGAGACTTTGTGGTGATTACAGGGCCTTGAATAAAATCACAATCCCTGACAAGTTCCCCATTCCCATAATTGAAAAGCTTTTGGATGAACTGGGAGGAGCTGTGATCTTTTCCAAGCTAGACTTAAAATTTGGGTACCACCAGATTAGAATGAGAAAAGAAGATAGTCAAAAAACTGCATTCAGGACTCACGAAGGACACTACGAGTACCTGGTTATGCCTTTTGGCCTTACAAACGCACCCTCTACATTCCAGGCTTTGATGAACTCTGAGACCTTATTTGAGGAAGTTTGCATTGGTGTTCTTTGATGACATCCTCATCTACAACAATTCAGAAGCAGCTCATCAAGAACACCTAAGGAAGATCCTCCAAACCCTGCAAGAAAATCAACTAATGATAAATCCAAAAAATTGTTCATTCGGGAGAGCTCAAGTAGGCTGTTTGGGCCATATTATCTCAGGAAAAGGGGTAGCTGCAGACCCATCCAAGATAGAAGCAATGGTGCAGTGGCCAGAGCCCAAGGATTTGAAGGGGCTCAGGGTTTTTTTGGGCATCACTGGCTATTACAGAAAATTTGTGCAAGGGTATAGTCACATCGCTTTACCCTTGACTCAATTACTTAAGAAAGACAGTTTCCATTGGGGGCCTTCTGCAACTCTAGCCTTTGAGGAGTTGAAGAAAAAGATGACCACACTACCTGTATTGGCTACACCCGACTTCAATAAAAAATTCATTGTAGAAACTGATGCTTCAGGGACGGGTCTGGGAGCTGTACTGATGCAAGAAGGGAGACCCATTGCCTACATGAGCAAATATTTATCAAAAAGAAACCAAAACAACTCAATTTTTGAGAGGGAACTGATGGAAATTGTTTTGGCAGTCCAAAAATGGAGGCCTTATCTGTTAGGTAGTGTTTTTGAGATCCACACTAACCAGAGGAGTCTGAGATTCCTGACTGAACAAAGACTCTTGGGAGAAGAGCAACAAAAATGGACTTCCAAGCTCATGGGGTACAATTTTGTTATCAAATACAAACCCGGGATGGAAAATAGAGCCGCAGACTCTCTCTCCAGAAGACCTTACCTACAATCACTATCCATTATCACTTGCCAAGAATGGGAAGGATTGGAGGAAGAACTAAAAGAAGACCACAAGTGCCATGCCTTTTTGCAGAATGTAATATCTCAACCAGATCCGTATAAGGAATTTCAAATTATCAAGGGACTTTTATACTACAAGGGAAGGCTAGTGTTACCCAGCACATCCCATCCCCTAGGGTCAGGAAGGTCCTAAAGGAATATCATGACTCTACTCTTGGAGGTCACTTAGGGTATTTCCGGATTATGAAAAGAATCACCGGACTATGAAAAGAATCACAAACCTATTTTATTGGCATGGGATGAGAGGAGACATCAGAAAGTATGTGGATGAATGTGCAATATGTCAGACGAACAAATACCAGGCTTTAAAGCCAACAGGTTTACTACAGCCCTTGCCTATTCCCAAGAATGTTTGGTCTGAAATCAGCATGGATTTCATTGGTGGCCTCCCTAAATCACAAGGGAAAGATACCATACTGGTAATTGTGGATAGATTGACCAAATCAGCTCACTTTCTGGCCCTATCCCATCCTTTTAATGTCAAAGAGATAGCTGAGCTATTCACCAAGGAGATAGTGAAGTTGCATGGGTTTCCCAAGTCAATAGTAAGTGATAGAGACAGCATTTTTATGAGCACTTTCTGGTCCGAACTCTTCAGGCTATCTGGGACCCAACTAAAATATAGCACGACTTACCACTACCATACTTCACTATAAAGATGACACCATACAAGGCTTTATATGGACATGACTTCCTCCAATAGCTGATAGGCATAGGAGGGAGGTGACATTGGAAGTAGGTGATAAGGTATATTTGAAGATCCAGCCATACAAAATGAAGAATCTAGCCAGAAGAATCAACCAGAAATTGAGTCCTCGTTTTTATGGCCCTTTTGAGGTGATTGAGAAACTGAGCTCGGTAGCTTTTAAACTGAAACTACCTGAGCACAATAAGATCCACCCAGTGTTCCACATATCATTATTAAAGAAAGCTATATCCCCCACCACTCAATTCCAACCCTTACCCACCTGCCTTAATGAAGAATGGGAGCTACAGGTATATCCAAAAGAAGTGTTAGACTCCAGGATGAACAAAGATGGGAAGTGTTTTTCCAGTGCTAGTTCACTGGAAAAACATGCCTGCGTTTGAAGACTCTTGGGAATTGCTGCAGCCTCTAACAGATAACTTTCCTGAGCTTCACCTTGGGGACAAGGTGAATTTTCAGGGGGGGAGTAATGATAGGAATTGGGGCCACCAACCCATCCAGTATTTTAAAAATGTTTATCAAAGGAGAAATAAGGGGTTAAGGGGGTAAAATAGGGAAGGAACTATCCAGGTGGTCCCTGCGTGGACAGTTACTATATATAGTAAGGAGAGGTAGCTAATAAAGGCTAGGTTATCATTTATCTGGATTGTTGCCTTGTAGCCTAAGTCCGTGTTACCTGGTTGCCTACGGTTTACCTATCTCATCAATAAACATCGTTTCCCTATCCTTTCTATCAGATCTATACTTGTTTGTTTACTGTGTTGCTCAGATTATTGCCAGGTACCTATCATTGGTTCACTATAATTCATTGCTAAATTGTCTAAGGTTTAAGATTAGACCTTAGGACAAGTATAATACTCAATTTCTAAGAAAGCTTGACGATTCTCGGTCAGTCAAAAGCTACAGCTAATTTCTGTAGTAACAAAGTCTAATATGGCTGTAGCACCTCGTCTAGAATATTTTGCTGTAGCACCTCGTCTAATCCTTGGCCAGTCAAAAACTACAACTATTTTTATTTAGGTCATTCCAATTGTTTCTATTTTTGCAGTTGCTTAAAAGACCCATAGAGCACATACATTGGAGTGTAGAAGTAGAACTTTAAAATCCTTAGTTGAATCAGGACAAATGAAGGTTCAGGACTGTCCTGACCTGAAAATTTTGACCTTTTAAAAGATTTGGCTATCATTCTGGTCTAGTTTGAATCACTGTTGTCAACCTGGATATCTGAGCATAGCAGTGTACCCTGAAACGCTATAACGTATAGTGGGATGAACACCGTTAGATCTACTTTTAGGATGTTTTCTTTTGGACTGGAATTTGCTGGTCTGGTCTGTTCTAGTCTGGTAAATGTTTGGTCTCTGTGTATTTTATAACTGTCCAAGCAGCCTGGTCTGGTCTGGTCTGTTTAAGTCAACTCTGGTCTGTGACTGGAAACAGTCCAAAAGAAAACATCCCTTTTCAGAATACATATTATGTGTATGCATCAATGTTCAAAAGGGAGAATTTTAGTCTTGAGGCATGGAGCTAGAATATATGCAGAACTTCCTTTGCAAATTATTAACGATTTATTTTTTTTATCAATACTATATAAAAGTGCCTCATAAATAAGTGTCCAAAACCTCTAATATAATTTTAGCTCTCAACGAGAAGTATGTAAGATTTGTTGTCCTAAATAATATCAGGGAAAAAATCGAAAGAGAAAAGGCTGGAGCACGGAAATTTTTGATATTCTGGGGAAATTTGAATTAAAAAGGTTAAAAGGGTTCTGTTGCTCCTGTTTTTTTTTTTTTTTTTTTTTTTCATATAAAATGAAAGATACGTGGCTTGCATTGTCTAAGTCTTTTTAATCTCACTGGAGAGGAGAAGAATATGGAAATTAGCTCAAGATTTTCACCTTTATGCACTTGTGGAGGAGTGCAAAGTAGTTGTATGCTATATGAACTTTATAAGTAGAGCTGTGTGATACTGCGATAGGAATGGTTGATTCTGGAAAATAGATTTTAGGGCTTCTTTTGCCTTAGTGGCTAGTTTTTGTAAAAATAATATGTCAGATATGGTTTTTTTAAAACAATATTTAAAATTAAAGAGTGAAAACATGGGGCTCATGCCTCAAAAGCTCCTCACAAATGCCTCAACCATCTGACCTCAGCTTAAGCCTCAGCATTTTTTTTCATCGCCTCACACTATGGTGATCCTCATAAAAGCAATATAAGCTATGGTATACATACAATTACATATCAAAACCAAAAAATGATAAATATTACTCAAAATCTGAACTTCCTGACATTTAGAAATAGTACTCCCTCCGTCCCTCAAAAAGGTTCTCACTTGCCATGGACGTGTTCCATTTAAAATTTCCCATTTCTATTTTTTTAGGTCCCCATTTCTATTTTAGGAAATAATCAACAGTTTAACACTCATAAATGACAACTTAATCATGACATTTTAAAAATAATACACCCATAACATCACAATTATCATGAATTACCCCATTATATTATATACCAAATCAAACTACTTCTCGCAATATATTCAATTCACAATGTTTGATTATTGTTTAAAAAACCATGCCTTTTTTGAATGGGAACCTTAAACCGGGACGGAGGTAGTAATTAGTAAATGTCTAAATTACCAATAAAAGTCTGAAATGTGTTGACTGCTATTCCTACATCTCTACGTATTCCCATTTATCGCTTTTGGATCTGGTAATTCCTCATGTAGCTGTTCTGCTACAAAAAACATCTGTGACACTCTGCCCGCCCTTTATATCTTTCAAGCCGTTCCACTCCTAATCAAGATCAGTTTTACTAGTGGCAAAGCCAGTTGAAGGGATTCACGTGTATCCCTTTTGAGTCTCCATACTAGAAAAGCTGCCAGATTGAGTCGAGTTTGTCAAAGTGGCACAGAAGGTTGTTGAAGAGTTGTGTCATCCTAAGGATTTCAAAGACACAGAGAATGTTCTCAAAGAGAACGACTTTGAGCACATATCTTCTAGAAGGCTGAGAGGAGGTTCTAGAATGTTTAGGAGTCTGTGATGTACTTATGTGTTTACTTTTTACTCTAAAAAACGTACTCTAACTCTTTCCAACCTCTAAATTTCAAAATTACACCTAATCCCAGTGAAGGCGAGCCAAATAAATAGTAGTGATGCTATTGCGCGTTTCCGCCCACTACCGCTGCTATTGTACCCGCTATAGCTACTAGACTCCACTGCTCTGTGCAGAGGATATGGTAATGTTCAACCACTGCTTCGCTACTATAGTGGCGCTGTAGCATGCTATTAAAATCACTTGTTCAAGTCTTTCTGATTTGATTTGGTGTGACTAGGTCTTGTCTGGTCATTGAAATCTTGTTTTTTTTTTCATTTTAAAATCTAACATTTGGTCTGGTCTGACTCATTGTGCTCTGCTCATAATTTTTCTTCTCTCATGACAATACTTCTGGTCTAGTCTGCCTTATTAAAATAATAACTAATATGCAAAAGAAGGTGAGCAAAGCGTTAACAATCAATACCATGGGACTATGGTAGCATACTAGCATGAATCTGTTATAGCTTACTTTGGAACAAAAATCACATATATATGGTGGTTTTTTCATGTGATTGGCTGTTTATAAAAACACTCCGTATGAAACTATCTTAGTTTCACAATTTTTATCCATTGGGATCATTGCTAGCACTTTGCTCCCATAGTACAAATAGCATGGCTAGCCACCTAGGTGTCTCCTAAACTCACTGAATACTTGCATCACCATGTAAGTGTTTCTATTGAACCACTCGGGTCCTACATCGTTCACGAGTTTTCCATTTCTAAAAGATTTGCATTTTCAAGATTATCTATTTTATATAGAACTGCAAATTGTTTTGTAAGGTAATTGTCTTTAGAAGCCTATTTTCTTGAATTCACACATTGGTAATTGTGTATAATATCATAAGCACACTGATAAAGTCCCTCTTAACTTCAGGCACTGGATTATTGCCATTCCCAGGGAATAATGCATAGAGATGTTAAACCTCACAACGTCATGATTGATCATGAACTAAGAAAACTTCGTTTGATTGATTGGGGTCTTGCTGAGTTTTATCATCCTGGTAAAGAGTACAATGTCAGAGTAGCCTCGAGGTATAGTTTCCATTCATTATAGTTTTATGGGGACTTACTCAGTTTTACTATTATGTTCCTGGAGATGTAAATATTTCCATTTGATAGATCCTTCTTATATGGTATCCTTCTAATATTATGTTTCTCTTTCCCCCAAATCAGATACTTTAAGGGACCTGAACTGCTTGTGGATTTGCAAGACTATGATTATTCATTGGACATGTGGAGTCTTGGTTGCATGTTTGCAGGAATGGTATTAGATTTTATGTGTATGCTCTCTTCCTAATGCCCCTTTGCAACATAAAATTTGATTCTTTCCTGTAGATTTTCAGGAAAGAACCTTTCTTCTATGGCCATGACAACCAAGATCAACTAGTTAAAATTGCAAAGGTATATGCGCTCATTCTGTCAAAATCCTTTGTGGTTCAAGTTGTTGACTTTCTATCAGGTAATATTGTAATAACTTTTGAATTAATTGCTTGACAGATATTTGACGTATGCATTGATTATAACAGTGCATAATAGAGGAGATTGATAGCTCAGTTTTACTACTTAAGTTTTGCTGGTTAATAAAAATACATATACTTCCATTGGTGTTTTAGTAAGAATAGTGATCCCCATTATGTTTTTTTCCCAAATTTTTTCTTTATCTGCTTATCTGATTATAAGTATCATTATTTTCTTTAAGTTTTTATTTGATGACATCCCAATCAAGTAAAACTATTGGAAGAACATGGATTATTATAGTTTACTTAGAACCCAAAATTGCTTATCATAAATGGTCATTGTGTTTCGCAATGCTAGTTATCATTTTTCATGATGGAGCTAGTCACCTCTGTCTAAATACATTATTTTTCCATGCCAGTCCTTTATGGGAACACGTTTCTCCGATAATGTGTCAATCAAATATACTTATAAAATTTCCAGGTCCTAGGCACAGATGAATTAAATACATATCTTAACAAATATCATCTGGAGCTTGATCCGCAACTTGATGCTCTGGTTGGAAGGTAATTTAATTTATAATAACTTTTCACGCTTCTAGTTGTATAATAACTCCCTAGCATAATAATATAACAAGCCCAACTTTGGATATTTATCCTACAGGCACAGCAGGAAACCTTGGTCGCGATTTATTAATTCAGATAACCAGCATTTGGTTTCACCCGAGGTAGAATATTTTCCCCTGACAAAGCATTTTTACCTCATAAATGTGTTATGATTTCAAATAGGGATTTACATGTCTTGAACAGGCCATCGATTTCTTGGATAAGCTTCTTCGCTATGATCATCAAGACAGACTGACAGCTAAAGAAGCAATGGTAACAGTATGTGATGGCCTACTTTTATTGCCAATTTTGATGTTCATGGGAATTATCTAGTGTTTTCTGTTTGACAAGGTTCTCTTTCACGTGTGACTGTCTCATTTTAAAGCTGGAAGTGACACTTAAAACAAAACAAAGTTTCATCCGTCTAAAAAATTAGTGGGTCTCTAAAAATTCTTGTCCCAATCAAAGGAGAAGAGCCTAACTTGAATCTTTTAACTGAGTTTCTTCTAATGCTAAGCAGCAAGCAGTTGTAGTCCAATATACTCCATTCTCCAAGCTATCTTTGAAATAACCTTTATGATAGGCCTGACTAAAAATAAAAAGAACCCGTCCTTTACTCAAATGCTTCTCCTTTTTGTGACAAAGTATTTTTTTTTTTGAAAAGAGCGGCTTTTTATGTTTTATATAGTCTACGAGAGAGCCCCACATCTAATTTTGTAAACGTTATGTAGAAGTGAAACTTTGAAATCACCAAACGTACATACGATAGTATAAAGGATTTAATAGTACTAGTATTACATATCCCATGCACCCTAATCAAGGTGACTAACCATTTCCATTTTATGCTCAGGCCCATCCATACTTCTTCCAAGTGAGGGCAGCTGAAAATAGCAGGGTTCGTACACAGTAGCGAAGGCCTCTCTCAAATGTACAGGTGTTGGCTGTGATATGGTCGCTTGTAACGACTTTTATGAAGTTGCAAAGGCCCCACTCCCCATGTGTACTTTGCTGTGACAATGTCCATCATCATGCATTGCTTGACTTTTTGCCATTTTAGTAGATCGTAAAAGTTTGACTTATTATTATTATTATTGCTGGACACGGGTCATTATTCCAGTTTGTCCTCAAATTAATCCCTTGAAATCGGGATCAAAGTGTCCAAATTGGGGTCTCCCCCAGTCCCCCCCTAAAGTCGTAATCCTTTGACTATTAGCCCCCCCCTAGGGGTGGACCGGTTCCGGTTCGGGCCTGGTTCGGGCCTGGGCCCGGCCGGGCCTCGGTTCAGAAATGGGAGGCCCGGAACCGGCCCGGGTAATCCCGGTTCGGGCCGGGCCGGGCCTCGGTCCTATTTTTTTTGGCTTTTCCTAATTAACCCCCAACCCTCCCCCTCAACCCCAAACCACCCCAAACCACCTCAAATGGCCCAAAATACCAAGCCCAACCCAAAAACTTAAAAAAAATTCAAAAAAAAAAAAAATAATTTGGCCCGAACCGGGCCCGAACCGGCCGGGCCGGTTCGCCAATCACAGGACCCGGGCCCGAACCGCACAGTAACCGGGCCGACCCGAACCGCCCCCCGGACCGGTTCCCGGGCCGGGCCGCCCGGCCTGAGTCCATCCCTACCCCACCCCCAAGTATTAAGTACAAAAGGTAGTGTGATTATCAAGAAAAGTTAAAATGGTTTAGAATCACACAAATATTATCAAATTTGGTGTGAGACAATCTTAGTGAGATGAAAGAAGTATTTGCTATTTCCTTCATTTCCTTTGAAATCTATAAATGAGAACATTTTTATATATCAAACCATCTTGTGTATTCAAGACTAAATTCACTTAGAAGTTGTTCTTCGCTTGATTTGAATGTTTTTTATCTGAATCTTTCCAATGGTCTAAATTTTTTATGTTTTGGTCTGATTTGAATCTTTCTGATCTAATCTGATTGAGTGTTTAGTATTATTATTATTATTATTATTATTTTTAGTATTATTATTATTATTATTAATACTGCCTCCGTCCCAAATTGTCAAGTTGGACCGGCATGGAGAATAATAATGTAAAAAGTGTGTGATTGAGGTTTGTGCAGAGGAGAGAGAAATAATATGAACCACAAAATAATTGATTAAAAAGAAAAGTGACAAAGTTTTTTGAGATGTCTCAAAAAGGAAAGATGACAAAGTTTTAATGCACGGAGGGAGTATTATTACTTCCTCCGTCCTATTGGACTTTGTCAATTTTTCTTTTTTGGTTTTCCCAAAAAACTTTACCACTTTCCTATTAAAACAACTAATTTGTAGTCTTGCACATTTCTCTCTCCTCTGTACAAATTTTAACCAAACAGTTTTTACTTTTCTTATTTCCTACCTACTTTGCATTTGTAGTCTGGATGACAACTTGATTAATCGTATAAGAATTTGTTGGGCCCTAAATCCAACAAATCCTTACATAGTTAAACAACTCGTGATTAAAAAGATGGTGTCAACTAACCTTCATTTGCGCAACAAATATGTGATGAACCAAGATTGTTATAGAATAAATGTCATGAAATGCTCTGTATATGCCAAAAGTGGAGGTTTATAGGGCATATCCGTTCTTCCATGCGATTTAGGGTTTCAGGCATATCCGGACTCTACAAAAGGTGGTGCAGTGATTTTTACATTGTTGTATGATTAGGTACTCGAATTACATGACTTGTTTATTCAACACTTTGTTATATCTACTTTGTTATGTAGCAATGTAATTTAAACAATTAACATTGACTGATTGACTATGGCTATGCTTTGATATTCGACACCAATGATTTTTAGTCATATTTTACTTTTCACATTTTTGGTGCAGTACATAGCTTTGCCCTTATTGAGCCAATTTAGGGAGTGTTTGCATTTGATTAAAAAAAGTTCTTTTCAGCTTTTGGCTTAAAAAAAGTTAAAAAGAGTGTTTTCAAATGACAGCTTCTGCTTAAATTAATCACTTAAAAGCTAAAATCTGGAAGCAGGTGGAGGGGTGCTTTAAACTGCTTTTCACTTTTTCTATTACACAAAAAGTACTTCTTTTACCAATCACTACCAACTTTTACTTTTTCAGAATCACTTTTTCTTCAAACACTATCAACTTTTACTATTAATCACTTTTCCCAAAATCACTTTAAAAAATCACTTCTTTAAAGTTGAAGCAATTGCAAACACTCCCTTAATCTCATTCTTGAAAACTGTAACCTTTGTTTCTATGGTAAATTGATGACAATAGCCCTTTAAATTGCATCACGATTCACAATATCACATATATGTATGTAAAGCGGAGATCCCACAAAAGTCAAATAAAAAAAAATGGGAGAGAAATTGGATGCTACATCATCTATAATTCTACATATGATAGGCTTCTATCATGAAAATAAAATTATTAAACAGATTTCATCTGGTTAAGCAAGTAGATACACCACACTGGGGTAACTACACTAGATTCAAATCCGATTTGATGATGTGTGATTTATAAATACTTCGACTGTAATTTCAAATGAAAAACATATTTACACAACAAAAAAAACACAAGAAAATCATGTTGAATAAGTAGAAAGGAGCTTAATGACAAAAGGCCGTGTCTTGCATTTAGCCACCAAAGGCGTTGCTTTGGGCATAGTCAAACCAGGTTCTTCACACATATCTATCAATTCACTTCCAAGTCTTTCCCAATCAAAGCATTGGATAACCGACGCCAATGACAACCCAACAATGTGCCATGCCAGTGCTTCTCCCGGACAACCTCTCCTACCAGACCCGAAAGGCATCCATTTGTACCCATATTCTTTAGCAGTAGTAACTGCTTTAAAGTCTTCAAATCTTTCTGGCTTGAACTTTGTGGGCTCATCCCAATATTCGGGGTCTCTCTGGATCGAATACAAGTTGAGCAACAACATTGTCCCTTTCGGGATGCGATAGCTTGCTATAGTGCATTCCTCTGAGGACTCATGTGGGATTGCCAAAGGGCCAACGGGGTGCATTCTCATTGCTTCCTTTATTATGCAATTCAAATAGGGGAGGTCAGCCATATCCGATTCCTCAACTAGTCTCTCGTATCCCACCTTGTCATCGATTTCTTCTTGCGCTTTCTTCAGAACTTGTTGGTGGTTTAGAAGTAGTGAGAGAGTCCATTCCATTGTTGCAGCTGATGTGTCTGTTCCTGCTACTAAGATTACCTGTAGTATGTTATAATAAAACATTTCTTCTTGTTAGTGTAGGTTAGTAATTCATTTTAATTAGATGTGAGATGTCTTTTAAACAATTCCTTGAGCACAAATACACAGAGTAGTCCCTTACTATCTTGACCCCATATTAATTTTCCATCACAAACAAACAAAAAAAAAGGATAAGAACTCAGAAATATTTGGTTGATATTGATTCTTTTTAGATAAGCATCACCGGCATAATCTTACTTTTTAAATAAGCATACTTGGTTGATATTCATTAAAGTGATTGCATTTGTCGAAATTATTGAAGTTAACTGAATACTTCATTCTCATGAAGTATTTGAAATAAATGGAATTTATTAAAAAAAAAAAGCTTCTTTAATTAGTACCTTTAACAACTTCTATTAACCGCCTATTAGATAATATAAGAATTAACATTTATAAATTTTGTTAGTATAGAACGTAAAGTTATTTGGTAGCATATATCCTTCATCTCTATCAAATTCTTTGGCAAACAATGTCCGTTTGACGAGACATACTGATGTTAAGGTTATTTTATTCCAAAAACTGTATAGGAGGAATCAGAGTTTGCAAGTCATTTTGTAATATACTTTTCAAACTTTAGAATAAGACTTATTGTATTAATGATTTTATAAACTGAGATATTCTCAACTTGGATGAAAGAATAGGATGTAAACTTCAATTTCCACATTATGTGTATCACTTTTGATAATTAAAATTTATATATTTTGAAAATTCATGAGAACTCTACTTAAGTGTAACAATTGAGATTAAAATTTTGATAAAATTAAATATTGAAGTCACAAGGACATAATATTAATGTATTAGATTCATCAATAATTTGTAGTTGAATATCATTCCTAATGAGAGCACCATACTTCAATGCAGACGATCAAGATAAATGCTACAATACTCGTGAAAAATAAGACTGCCGTACGTGCCTATTACTCTTTGATTATTTCAAATCATTATCATTTCAAGTTTGCATTTAAATTATTCAATTGAAATAATCTAATTGGTTCATATGGACAAGAGAGATGAATAAGGTATAATTACATTTTATAACCAAAATAAAAGTTGTTTACAAGAATGTAACATCTTATTTATAGTACGTGGTTACTTAGTCTTATTTTTAATGTAGGTCGGAGACAAGAGTACCTGTCACCAGTTGAGTTGGACCACCTTACCACAGGGATGGATCCAAAATTTTGAGTCGGGAGAGGGGGTTGATTTCTGTGAAACTTTTTCCACATGTGTATGGCTTTGCGGTTATTTTTTAATTCAAAAAAATTACATTATTACATACACAACAACATTTAAATCTATTACATTCTAAGTTTTGACTATGAAAAAATAAATCTAATTTTATAATTGAATTGCTTTAGAAGAAAGTATTGATACATTAAAGCGTAAGAAATGACAAATCAAAGGAAAATGAATTGAAAATAAGAAAAGATATATAAATTTTATCAAATTATTTGAAGATAAAGAGTTTAAAAGGTACACATCCACCAATACTTTTTAGATAACTTCTGCCTTGTTTCACTACATAAATCTTATTGGAATAAAGAATTGATTTTTGAATTACAAGTTTTATCTACCAAGGAGGGTGTTCGTGAGTCACAATAAATTTTCTTGATATTACAATAATATGTATCACAATATTAATTTTAGAATAATATTATATTGATAATTCATATTTATGGTGCATATTATATTGGTATTAATGCTAAAATAAGTTAAAGTTTATTATCTATGCAATAAGTTGTTTTTAGAAAGTAAAAAGTAAATGAATTGTTTAATTTAATGTCAAGAAACATTCATGTTTTGGATTAACTTCACATGATTTACAAACTGTTTAATTAGTGTGTCTGATATTTAATATTGTTTGATATTTTACATCGAGGGGTATGGATCAAATAAAAACCATTCGTCACGTGAAAACTGCAAACCGTTCACTTTTTCTTTAATTTGTTACACTATTCAATTTCTGTATTGCATTTTTTTGCATTGACAGAAAACTTTGACTTATTTACGAAAATGCCACCAAACTTTATTTATTTAGCATGGTTTGACCGAATAAAAAAAGTGCAAAAGATTACCCTTAAAGTGCATCACATTGGGGAAAAAGTGAACTGTTTTCAATTTTCACGTTAAGAGGTTTTTATTTGATCCGAAACCATACAGCGAGTTCCAATTAATTATCTCATAAAGATAATTAAACATTACAAAACTAGAAATTTGCACATGATAATAAGTATCCTAAGTCTTAAACAATGATTTGTTCTATTGTTTATTTGTTTAAAATATGAAAATTATTTTAGACGTTTCTTCTTTTAAATTCCCAATTAAGTATCACATTATGTAAGATTATATATTAATTTTGAAAACCAAAAACTAAGGGGGGCGAACACATATATAATCCCTTCGTCCCTTAAAACTTTGCCAACTTTTTTTTTCATTGCCCCCCTAACTTTGCCATGTTTTCTTTTGTGTAAAGAATTTGTAATTCGAGTTAATTGTCTCTCCTCTGCACAAAACTTTACCATACAGTTTTAACTTTCTTAATCTTTGTGTCGGTCAAACTTGACATAGTTTTAAGGACGGAGGAAGTATTTAATTAAAGCATGAATATTTTATGAAATTTGAAAGTACTTAATTTGTAAAAGAGTTGAGGAAGCAAAGTTAATGAATTAAGAACAATTCTGTTGTACACAAAGTTAGTACATACACAAATTGTATACTCTTTGTGTACAAAAGCAATTTATTTGAAAAGGCACTAAATTTTATGTCAAATTGCTTGTGTACACAAAGAGTATACAATTTGTGTAGACTTCTGTGCCCCAAGAATTACTCATTAATTATTGCAACTTCATTAATTATTGCAACTCACCCATACGAGGCCTTTGATAATATCATCTTTGTAATATTCGGGTTCCTCTGCTTGCCGGGTCAACAGTACATCAACAAAGGATTTCCTTTTTCCCGTGTCATCACCGCCGCCGTCACCCATCCTTTCCCGGCACTCCCTAATCAAATCCTGCAAGTAAGCATCTACCTTGAGCTGTAACTGTCGCAAACTCTCCTCGAATTTGACAGATAGCCTACTCAAAGAAGGCACGTAATCTCCGATGTTGGCGGCCCCACTGAAGAGGAAAACCTCCCTGATAATCTCCCTGAATCGAGCCGCCTTCTTCACATCCACTTCCTTGTCGTCGCCGTAATAACTTTTTCCGGCGATCATCCTCATCATCAGGTTCAGCATCAACTCCAAAAACACAGTCGTCATGTCCGCTGGCGACTCCGCTTTGGAAGACGAATCCAGCATCCGGATCATTGATTTCACCTCGTCTGCACGAATTTCGTGGAGCGCCTGGAGGCGATTATTGGACAGGATTTCGGTGGCCACGATTTTGCGGAGATTGCGCCAGTGGTCGCCGTAGGACGTCGAGGCTAGGGAGGTGTAGTTGTACCCTATATACTTTCCGGCCAGGAGACGGGGGCGATTCGCGAAAACGACGTCGTTCCTCGACAGACATTCTTCCACCGCGGAAGGAGAGGAGACCAAGAGGACTTTCCGGGAGCCGAACTTGAGTAGGACGACCGGTCCGTGTTTTTTGGAAATGTTGGATAAGGTTTTGTGGAGATGCTTTTTCAAAAGGTAGAGATGGCCGACGACGGGGAGGGTGAGGAACGGGGCCGGCGGGTAGTTCTTGAATTTCCGGTGGAAGTGGTTAGAGATTAGATACAGGAGGAAGAGGAGAGGAGGGTAGAGTAGAAATTGGGTAATGGCTGTGTAATCCATTTTACTCGAACTTTCTTTGTGTACAAAAAAGCTCTTTGTGTACACTGTACACACCATGAAAGGAAAAGAACGAATCTGATCTTTATTTTTAGCCCTCGTGCCATAGAGCATCTCCAATGCTACAACGTGCACGGTGCACATGTGACATGAGAGAGATAGACACAAAAGATTGATTTTATGACATTTCTCTCTCCGTCTTTCCACGATCTTTTGTGTTTTTGGTAAGTTTTTCTCTGCAATGTCAATCACAATGTCTACATCTAGACATTGTGCTTGACATTGTGAAGAAAAACTTACCAAAATGATATAAATCCTTCAAATAAGGAGAGACATATTTTATTTATTGTTTTTTGAATGGTTATCTATCATGCCACGTATGCACCGTTAACGTTTTAGCATTGAAGATGCTACGCAAACTCCTCTATTGAAGTCTACATGTTATTTTCTACTACCAGCCACTATATGCTACCAACTGACAAAGACCACCCATTAGCTAATACTCCCTTCCGTTCACATTCTTTTTTACACTCACTATTCATTGGTCAACTTAAATCACTCTTAATCTTTTACTTTATATATCAATTTTTTATCGAATTTAAATTTTCTTGATCAGTCTTTGTAGCGCGTTTAATGTAGTTTCTGAATATGTAAATTTTAGTTACTAAAAACAATCTGAGTGTGAACAGAGATTGAGTTGATTTATCGTCGGTCAAACATTTTTTTCCAAGTATAAAGAAGAATGTGAACCGGAGGGAGTACATTTTTTTAATTTAAGCGAAAAATCATGATTTCATCTAAATGAATATTAATGTACTTTTAATGAGCATTTGACCTACTCCTTATTACATTGAGTATTAAGAGGCTAACAATGAGCATCACAATATCTGATTCATATATCCTGATTCAATTTTTTTCTTCTTAATTTTTTTTCTCGAAGAGGGCTTAATTCATAAAAATAGCATTCAGCAGGGGAATAGGATAATAAAAGAACCACATGTAACCATCCGCCCGTGGCCGAGACTGAGAGTTAACCATCTGTAAAAAAGCAGTATAACTCGCTAGACCTAAATTGGACAACTTAAAGCCAATAACGGTTACTGTAGACCTCTCATCCCCCAAACCTAACGCAAGAGTCTTACAACATAAAATAAAACAACACACAAACGTCTTAACCTGTAAATTAAAATGCAGAAAAAATAAATAATTAAACTCCAAAACGCGTCGATCAACCACCCTTGGCGGTGGTTCTGGAGGAGGCCGAGCTCTTGCGTCGACTGATGTTGCACCAAAGCAGTTCACCTCCAACGCGACTGACCATTCATCAGCATCAACAATCGCCAATTTGCCCGTATCTTGCACTGCTCGGCTTTCCTCATCTGCGTGAAATTGTCCTCCAATCCCCTGCTTACTGACTCTAGTCATCTCCATCTGCAGTCCACCTCCTTCGATCGTCTTTATCATTTTAGAGATGAGATACAGAAGGAAGATGTTAGGAGGGTAGAATAGAAATGAGCTTATGGCTGTGTAATCCATTTTACTCGAACTTGAGAATGCCTGGCTGAAAATATGGGTAATTTATACTTGAAGCAGAGCCAGTATTTCACAGAAACATTAATGTAAGTCGTTAAGTCTTAAGCAAACTGATGTAATCTTGTGGCGGCTGGACTTTTAGATATAGGTTAGGACGTTTTCTACAAAAAGCTCTTTGTGTACACACCATGAAAAGAACGACTCTGATCTTTCTTTTTAGCCGTTGTCCCTTAAGCAAACTCCTCAATTGAGTCTACGTGTTATTTTCTTCAGCGGACTCCTATATCCTACATCCGGGTATGGGTACATCCAGCCCATCTGACAAAGACAACCCACTAGCTAATACAATTCCTTTTTTTTCGGATGACGTTTCTGTAATTTAAGCAAAAAATCACGGCTTCCTCTAAATGAACATTAGTGTGCTTTTAGTGAGCATTTGACTTATTACATTGAGTATTAAGAGGCTAACAATGAGCATCACGATATCTGCTTCATATTTTCTGATTCAATTTTTTTCTTCGTATTTTATTTTTTTATAAAAACTTATTAATTTATATCTAAAATACACTCATATGAATTTCAATATGCGAATTTAATGTAATATGATACTTTTGAAATATACATTGATATGACATTTTAAAATGAGCATAACATCAATACCAAATGAGCATACGTAAATTACAAAATGTATATTGATATGAAAATCATAAGATTTGTTAGTTTAACATAACGATTTTCATTAAGCATCAAACCTCCTCTATTGAGATGAAAATCATGGTTTCTGTTAAATGAGTATTGATGAACTTGTAATGCGCATCAGACATATTCTACCGAGTATTATTGAGCATCGTGAATTCTGCTTCATAACTTCTGATTCACTTTCTTTTTCTTATTTTTTTATACGAGTATAATTTTTTAAATTATATCTATAATAGACTCCTATGTATTCCAATATACGAATCTAATTTAATATTAAACTTTTGGAATATGCATCAAGACATTTTCATTGATCATCACCTTTCTTCTATTGAACATTGAAACTCTGCAATTGAGTATAAAGATTTGAAAACCTATTGAGCATAAAAAATCTTCATTGAATAGTCAGCCGTTATAGTACTTATCTTAAAACGTTATATGGATGTACATTTCGTGTAAATATTATACCCATTTGGGTATAGCATAAAACTCTTGTTTTTTTACTCATTTTATAATGTTATATCAATGTTCATTCTTGAAAGTAATGCTCATATATGTATAACATAAAAATCATTTCCATTACTCACACATATAACATAGTCATTACAAATAACTTAGAATAAATCTCTCTTAACAATAAAGCTCAACCGATTTTAACACAATGACATTGTAAAATTGGTGAATGTTCATTTTAAATGTAATGATAGAAAAGTCTAACATTAATCACTCAAAATATAACATAAGAATCATTAATAGTTGAATCCAATACATAAATACCAAACATAAAATCTAATAGCAAACTTTTTAAATATAAAATTTAGAAAATAACAAACAAAATCAAGAATTCCTTAATTCAAGCAGCATAAAAGCTAGTTAATTCAATGAAAAAAGAACTACTATGCAAAATAAATTATACATAGTCAATACTATGTTCAAGTACAATAAAGTTTATTTAAAATTTGCTCAAAAAATGAACAAATAGTTTACTCCAAAAATTTTAGGAACAATTGGCAGACATTAGTATTTAGAAGATAACTTTAATGAAGCGATTAGATCATTACTAGTTAAATAGAATGATGAAGATGTTTGAATGAGATTCATTACTTTTAATGCTTTCAGAATTCAAATTGAGTCAATTTGAATTCAAAAAGGATGGAAGGGAGAAGAAGTCCGGGAGCAAGAGCAACATCATGAGAACAGGGTGCATGTATAATTGGGCTGAAAGTTGTAAGGAATTACAAAAATACCAGGGTGTATATAATTTGCATCACTACTACGTACTATATTCCATACAGTATTGTACTCGTAGACTCGTAGTTGCCTAGAATTATTATTTGGTCGTATTATTGCATGGCCCATGCAACCTCTTCATAGCAAGCACTCCCATCCCCATTGTATCATATGCGTATGAAGATGTAATGAGAAAGCATAAGGAGAATTCCTCCAATATTTCATAGCTCTTTCGGTCTCATTCAAGATTAATATTAATTTTCCTATCCCAATTTATATTAATTTTATCACGGTATCAGAGACAAAATCCTAGAAATAAAATTTCTGAATTTTTTTCCTCTCTTTTTTTCTTTCTAAGCTATGGCCATCAGTGAAGTCACCATTAAAACCAACCATGAAGTTATGTGCTGTCTTCCTTCCAATGCCCAAGTAAATATGGCGTGCATATTGCCACATGCTCGTCCTTGGATAATAGATTCTGGAGCTATTGGACATATCACTTGCAGTGATATTGATCTTTTTAATATTACTAGTCACGCATTTGAATCATCGGTCAAAATTCCTAACGGCGAATCAATTCCGGTGCATGCTATCAGAAGTTTATACCTTCCAATGGGCTACATCTTGAACGTGTTCTTTATATTCCAAAATTTCAATGCAACCTACTTTCAGCTAGTCACTTAACAAGCGATCTAAACCGCACACTAACATTTTTCTCAGACTTCTGTATTTTACATCCTCGAGAAAGCTGATTGGCATGGGTAGATTTCGTGATGGTCTCCATTACTGGGAGTCTCCGAGAAGCGAAAATGTGGCAATGTCAGTCTCTATCACCTCTGATTTATGGCATCAACACTTGGGTCATGCATCTGATGGAAAATTGCCTCACATTAGTTCTTTGAAGGGATTTCGACGTAGCAGTGATTTTTGTGATCCATGCACCCGAGCTAAGCAAACTAGACTACCCTTTCCTACAAGTGTCATAAAAACAACTCGATGTTTTGAATTGATACATTGTGATATTTGAGGAGGCTATAGATGTGATTCCATCTTCAGTACACAATATTTTCTATCTATTATTGATGATTTTAACAGAGATGTGTTAGTTTATTAAATGAAAAATAAATCTGAAGATTCTCAACTTTTAATCCAATTTTGCAACATGGTTCATACTCAATTTGAGAAAAAGGTGAAACGAATACGAGCGATAATGAATACTCAATTTCAAACCAAAAATTTATTTGATTATAATGGACGCACTAAGATATTATTAGAGACTTCATGTAAAGACACACCACAATAAAATGAGGTTGTTGAGCGTAATCACCGACACATATTGGAAATTGCGAGGGCATTGCGTTTCCAATCTGGACTTTCTATTGTGTTTTGGGGAGAATGTATTTTAACTGCTGTTTATATTATTAATAGACTCCCCTTAACAATAGCCCTTTTCATGAGTTGTTATTTGGAAAAGTGCCTAGCTATGTCCATTTGCGTGTATTTGAGTGCTTGGTGTATGCCCACAATAATAAAAGAAAGGACAAATTCAGTGAAAGGGGGTCCTTGTGTATTTATTGGTTATCCATATAGTCAAAAAATTTATCGAGTTTTTTAAT